AAGAAAATCCTGAGACTTGTTAGTCAACTTGTTGCCTGCGCAAGGGCAGCACTTTCCAGAGGCCAGTGCAAGCCTAGAGGGAGCTGAGATAAAATACTGGGCGCTTTCCTGCCTTTTATTTTACTGAAAGTTAGTGTTACATGTTGTTTGAGGATACACCCTGGCTGCCAGGGGGGTTTGAAATCAATAATTAATAAGCATTTATTCACTAAGATGGGGCCCAAAATGAAGGAAAAAAATAATTTCTGTAATTCAAGTATCTCCTGGTTGTCATAAAGAAACACATGAGATTTTACTAAAAATGGTCAATAAGGTATATTAATTTAAAAAGAGTGTTGCAGGATAGTTTTGCTGTCATCACCAGAGGGGGAAAAAACTGACACTGGTCCAAAGAGTCAGCCTGCAGAGGAAGGCTTGGTTTTATTTCCCTGCAGTGCTGCCAGTTTTCTGTATTACCTTAGGCAGGTCACCTAATTTCTTTTTACTCCAGCTCCTCCTCTACGCAGTAGAAATGTCTCCAATCTCACTGGCATGTTGTGATGATAAACACATTAAAATGTAAAATACTTAAATGTTACAGAAAGAAAATCTACATCTATATCACAGAATGGATGTTTATTATTATAAATCCAATTTATGTTTATGATATACTTGTTCTAATTGCTTTCTTTTGTATTACATGCACTGTACTTTATTCTACTCTATTATATTCTGATGCTTTAGGCAAAAATCCCATAAAATCAATTTTCCAGCAAGTTTTGCAATGGAAGTATCTCACTGTTATGTTTATTTGTTTCACTGCACTTTTTCAGTTTCCTTCCTCTGTTAATCCATCAAAATGCCAAGATTAAAGCAGAAAGTCAGATTCTTGCTACCTATGACCACATTCATGGTCACACCACTCATGACCATATTCAGGCTATACAGCACTTACTGTCATCCTCCTCCAGGGCAAATTACTTGAGAAGAACAGAGATTTTCAGAAAATAATTTCAGGTAGCAGAGTAACTTTGCATTTCTCAAGGATGTCACTCTGACCTGGTGTCAGCCAATACTTCTGGAAACCAAGTCATGAGGCAAGATGTGGAGTGGACTCCTTTAAAGCACCTGTGCTACAACAAACTGCATCTCAGCACCCCACAGATAATTCTCCTATGTCAGAAAACATTGAGGAGAACTGTCAAGTCTTCTAATTTATCCAGAAGATAATTATAGGACTGGAGTACAAGGAGAGGGACCAAATCCCAGATTAGCATGCAGAAATTGAGGGCTTCCTCCACATTTAAGAGTCCATTAGTTTGCTCAGAACTTTTATCTGGAGCTTCCCTCATCCTTTAAGAGGCAGCACAATCATTTAGCACAAGTTTTTAGGCAGGAAGAAGAGAGTCTGGGCATCCAGTGTTTAAAAAGCAGAATAAGATTCTGCCCTGCTTCAGCTAGTCAAGGATACGAATACACAATGTATGCAAAGTTTTCACAAAACAGAAGACAGCATTATGTATTTCTTTTATTAAGGCAAAATGTTTTAAAAGAGAAGAATCAGGTCCCTAACGCACAGCTTACGAGAAATTCAGTTCAGCTAAACAGAAATACAGTGCTTACCACACCTACTGAAAGTGGTGTGCCCAGTTCAGTGTTCCATCATCAGCACTGGGGCTTCAGAGCAAGGTGCAAGAAAGCCTGCAGGAATCCCAAGATGGTATAAACTGGCATACCACTGCAGAAGGTGAGTTTTTCATACAGCAGTAGTGCTGTTTCTGCTTTTCGTTCTTAAGTTTTATGTATCATGCTGTATGGTCATGTAGTTGTACTCTTAAGTCAAAATAAACTAAACTAATTTTAAAAACTTATGATTTGATTATGTTTAATTTTTAAAAATCAGTGTAACGATAGAAAGTGACAATTTTAATATTTTACAGACAACATAATAATATTTATTTCAAGCCCACTTATTAGATGATGTATCTAGAATGTAACACTTTCCAAATACTTGTTCAGTTTTTCACTTAGGATAATTTTGGAGGAGAACTCAAAATACACATGCAGATAAGCACTTGGAATAGTCAAACCAAATCCTTTGAAACCTGTAAATTATGGGAATAGAAACTTGCTGATAAAACTCTGCTGCTGAGGACTTACAAAGGAAAAGCTACCATGACCAGATGGACCAGATCAAGAGTGCCATCCCATCCGCTCTCCTCTGCCATCATGGGTAAGAATTTTCCAGTTTACAGAAAGAGTACAGGATTTTAATTCTTCAGCACTTTTATGGAGTGTTAAAAAGTACCCTAAAATGGAGTACTTTCTTCATGTCTCTCCTTGGTGGCTGCTGTGGATACGTGTTGGTTTTGGAACTGTAAAAAAGTTCAGCTTATTCAGTTCAGTCCCTGGTGTAATTTTATATTCCTTCCTGAGAACTTTTGGTGACCTCACCAGAATTCAGGATTACATGAGCAATACTGATTACTGATTCCAAAAAGTCTAATAGTTTTTCAATTCTCTTTTCTTCAGCATTTTTTTTTTTTAATTTTAAAACTCCTGGATTATGCCAAACTAGTTAGTCCCTGCATGATCTATAAAGCACTTGCTAGTTCAGAGAGATTTAAAAAAATTTTGCTTTATGATGTTCAGTAGTCTTACTAAAGACTTAAATCACGATTTTCCAAAATGCTATGGGATTTGGGGGCTCCAAACAGGCAATAGCTCATTCCTCAAAAACTCACAAAAATCAGTAAATTAAAAAACCCTACCTAGTACAAATTCTTTAGTTAAAATACCTTCACTAATTCCTTAAGGCTAAAATTCTTCCTTTGACAAAACACTCTTTTGCCCTATCACTGCATGAACAAGAAACATAACACACAGCCTGACCACCCCTGCCTTACTCGCAAACACAAGTGTCCAGTCTGAATGGTTCCCCCAGTGTACGCCTACACTAGAGATAAGAGATTCCTTAGAAAGCACAAAATCTGGCTTAGCAGGACAGTTCCGATATAATTTACATTTATGAAAGTTCAGACACCTGAGAGCCCTCATCACTTTAAGACATCTAAATCAGATCAGAATCAATAGATCCCTGTCAGAATATATACAACTTTGTTGTACATCTTCTACATTCGCAGAAGACTTTTTTCTGAGTGCATAATGCATGAAGAAACTTAGTATTTCTCACTGCTCAAATGTAAGAGCCTGGTGCTTTTGCCCAAAGCTCCCTCTGAAATCCCTGGGAGCTGTGGGATCAGAAGAAACATAGAATTGGACTCAAAATCACTAGACAGACCTGCCACACTTTCCTAAATTCACAAGTACCGCTGTAGGCCGATCAAAGGAAGAACTAACCCTGGAGGCAAGCATTTGTAAAACTTGGCATTCAGGAATTTCTGTAACACTCAGAAAAAGTTTACTTATAGCTATGAATGCTGGGGCATCTGCTATCTCCCCTTTTACATGTATTCTGTCCATATAATGTACCATTTTCTCTAGACCTTTTTTTCGAGGGGAAGAATATGCACCTAATTCCAGAAGGATGATACTTGTCCCATTTTCTGGACCTGCCTATAGTTGGTTAAGGTAAGTATGTTTAAATAACTGATATACTTAAGGTAATATGAACATATTCAAAAATGTTAACATCCACTTCTTTGACTCTCTTCTATCTACCTTTAAAGCATATCATGCTAAAGGATCAAAAACTGTTTTGGATTTTGCAGAACAGTTTGTAGGATTTAACTGAAGTAAAATTATACTTGAAAATAAAACAGTTGTTATTAATTCTTTTCCTAAAACGAGCCTTTTGGTTTCACATCTTAAAGTCTTACTTCAGTAAGCATGATTCTGCTTGTCCTATTTTCATTTTAAGTACATTTAAAACTGCATAATAAATAACAATTCTGAAAACAGGACACAAGTCTGAAATAAACTGATACATTATAACAGAAAGGCAAAATACAATACAGATGATGAGTCTAATACCGAATTTTCTGAATTAACTTTGAATTCAACTTCAAACAGTTCCATGACTGACAGAACTGCGCATCCCCAAAAATCCTTAAAACGTTGTTGATGCCCAAACAAAATCTATTTATATGAAAATCGGCACACTCAAGACACAAAACCTGTTTTGTAGTACAATTTGTTTCCAACCCGGCGACACAGCTTACTGCGGGCCTGTTCGACAGCAAGTCGCAGTCACCCCCCCGCGACAGCAACACCGTGGGCAGGCCGGGTCGCCGGAGAACTGGTCAAACCGGCACAAGTGACACATCTCTCACCACCCACCCAGTAAAGCGCTGGCTTTAACACCGGACCGAATGGCAATTACAGACCTTTTACACAGCTTTAAAGCTTTTTTTTTTTTTTTTTTTCTTTTTTCCCCGCCCCTGGTTTTGTCAAAACTTCCAGAAAATTGCCTGCTTTGCTTGAATTAATTTTCCTTTTGGTCGGAAGAGCCCAGTCCTTCACTGTTCACCACAGACAGGGCACTTGGGGAGCGGGCTGTCGCTCCTGCCTCCCGAGCTATCGCTACGGGAGGGGGACGGGACCACCGCTCGTCTTTCTCCCCAAACCAGCAATTTCAGACCTTCTCGGGGCGCCTGTCGGCGGTGAAGCTCTTTTACCATCCCTTCAGGCCGTGAAGAACCAGCAGATCTGGAAGAACTGCGATTAAGGGCAGTTAAAAGCGCTCCTCACCACCTGCACAAGGCTCTGTGGCGCTCGCTACACCCTCAGGCGCGCTGGCCCGCGCAGTTTAAAGCCGCCGCCCGGCCGCCCTCAGGGTCCCGCCGCCAGCGGCAGGGCGCGACCCCCTCCCGGAGCCCCGCCGGGAGGAAGGAGGCGCAGCCACAGCGTCCCGCCGCCTCCGGGCTCGGCGGAGCGGCCGGCAGGAGGGGGAGCGGCCGCGTCTCTCCCTGTCGCCGTCCCCACCGTGCCGAGGCCCCGCGAAGCCGCTTCTGTCCCGTCTCCCCGGCGGCGGGGCCGCGGGGGAAGGGGCCGGCGCTCACCTGTGACTGCCGGCGGGAAGACGCCGCCTCTGTCCGCTGCCGGAGCCCGCGCTGGCAGGCGGCCGCCGTCCGCCGCGGAGGGGTTAAGCACTTGAAAAGCCCATCTTGTAGGGTAGGGACCCCCTGAGGGGCTGATTTGTTCCGCCGCGGGGCACAGCTTGAGGGGGACGGGGCTGGCGGGGAGGGGACGGAGCTGGGCAGGGCTCGGCGGCGCCCCGGCCCGCAGCAAGTTCTCGATGAGGAAACTTTTGCCCAGGTTGCCGAAGCCCGGCGCCGCCGGCAGGTTGAGGAGAGCCGAGGAGCCCACCAGGTCCCAGTACAGGGCGCTGGGCAGCATAGCGAGGGTTTTTACCCCGCCTCGCCCTGCCCGGCCCAGCCCAGCCCGGCCGCCGCGGCCCCTCACTGGGCTGGGACGGGGCGCCGGGCTATGGGGCCGGGCGGGCGTGCGGGGCGCCTCCCCGAGGGCTGAGGGGAAGGGAGCGGAGAGCTCGGCGGGGCTGTCCGTGGAGACGCGGCGCGCCTCTTCGCCGGGCTGGAAGGTGTGTCCAAGCGCATTCATTATGTCAGCCGGGGGACGGGGAGTGATGGACGCGGCCAACAATGCCGCCTTGCCCGGCAGCCCCCCCAGCACATTCCCGGGGGAAGGCGGGGGGGGGGGGGGGGTAGGGCGGGGAGCTGAGCGGCCCCGGCCGCGTCCTGGAGCGGAGGTGGCTGTCCCGCTTTACCCGCCCCCCCACCCCCACGCCGGGCCCGCCGCCATGTCGGGAGGCCTGGGGCGCCCCTTGAAGGGGGGTCCCCGGCCTCCCGACATGGCGGCGGGCCCGCGGCTCCTGCTGTGGGGCTGCACCTGTGTGGAGGGGAAGGGAAAGGCCTCTGGCCTCCGTCCCGGCGGGGAGGTAGCTCCGGTGCTGGCCGCGGCGAGATCATGTCGACCTAATGATCCCATGAGGTAATGGGAAGATAGTCATTAGCTCACTCCCTCTGGGCATTTTTATCTGGCCTTTTTTTTTTTCATTTTCCCCCCGAGTTACCCCTACACGCACACACTCAATGGATTTTCAACATTTGTCTTAATAAATCTGATTAAGATCAGCTCAGCACTGTTAATCATGTTTTCCTTGAGAAGTGGGACAGTGCTTTCTGTCGGCATAAACATCCTTTGGCAGGAGTGGCTCTGTCCCTTTCTACTTCCTTGCCTGTATTCTCATTTATTTTCTTACCAACCATGCAGTGTGGCAAAGATGTCTCATTTTCCAGTTTAAACACGCATGCAGAAACTTAAAATTGGATGCAGTTCCCAAAGACCTGAAAGCATCTCTCTGTTTTGCAGAGAAATCTGTTTATTGCAAAGCATCTGTTGGCCAGTCTAGACTCAGGGATATTCCTTGCAAAATCCTCTGGAGCAGGTGTGTCCCTTATTTGTATATAGCAGTAGGGACATAACACCTTGAACATCGGGGTAGTTCATAGCTAACACCAGCTGGAGAAGTGGAATCATCCGTGTCCTCAGACAGCAAATGGGGAAGGATAGTTTAACTGCTGAGGTACTAAATAATACCTTGAGGGAATGTGAATTAGGCGCTCAGGTGTCCCAAGTTTTCCTTCACGTCCTCCGGAAGGTTGATCCTGCCAGAGTTTGGGCACTTACTCCATTGGCACTGAGATGTTATTACCTGTGGTGAACCGGAACTTAAAGGGTTGATAACAGTGCTTCATGCCAAGGGCCCATGTAGCCTGACCTGTCTTCAGCAGTGGCTGTATAAGGGAGAATAAGACCAAAACAAGTGTATCTGATAGTTTTTCCCTGATACGCTGCCATTCTCTAACAGTGCTCACTTTACAGGATTTCCACAGCTTAAGCACTTTGTTCTGGTTTGAGCCCAGAGGGCAACTGAACACCACACAGCTGCTCACTCCCCCTTCCCCCTCAGAAATGGGAAGGAGAAAGTAAAGCCAAAGGTTCAAGAATTGAAGTAAGGACAGGGAGGGGTGACTCACCCATTATAGTCATGGGTAAAAGACAAGCTCGTTAGGGGAAGAAAAAAGAACATCAATTTAATTAAAACACTAACAACAGTAACACTTAACAGAGTTGGACGGAAGCATTGCCACATCTTAAAAATACCTTTTCCCACCCCTCCCTTCTTCCTGGGCTCAGCTTTGCTCCCGATTTCTCTACCTCCTCCCTCCACAGCAGCGCAGGGGACAGGGAATGGTCATGCAGTCAGTCCTGCCACTCCTTGCTCCTCAGGGAGAGAACTCACTGCATTCTTCCCCTGCTCCAGCATGGGCTCCCTCTCACAGGAGACAGTTCTCCACGAACTTTCTCCAACGTGACTCCTTCTCACAGGCCACAGCCCTTCCTCCGTGAGTCGCTCCTGTGTGTTGCAGTCTTCCCAGGGCTGAACTACAACAGCGGAGGCTTCTCACAGAGTCCCAGCCTTCTTCAGGTGCAGACACCTGCTTTGGTAGGAGGTCCTCCACAGGCTGGAACTCAGCATCGGCTCCTCTGGTGGCCTCCGTGGGCTGCAGGAGTCTCTGCACCAGCACACCTCCCCCCCTACTTCTTTCTTCACTGACCTTGATCTTTGAGTAGATGTCTCCTTCAGGACTCAACTCCAACTCCTCCAGGTTCCCCCTCTTAAATATGTTATCACAGAGGTGTGGCCACCGTTGCTTATTGGTTTGGCCTTGGCCAGAAGCAAGTCTGATTTGGAGCTGGGGGAACTTCAGGAAGCTTCTCACAGGGGCCACTGCTGTAGTGCCCTCCCCACTACCACAAACCCCTGCCATACACATAAACCCAACACACACTTGTATTTACAGATCTGAAGGCCTTCATCTTTGTGAATTCAAGATATTAATGCAAGTATTTTATCTGTGAGCTTTTTGAGACGAGTTGACTCTTGGCATAGAAAAGAACAGAATCTAGCCTGGTATATCACAGAGTACATCTAAAGGTAATATGCATCATTGTAATATTAAGTTACAGAAATATATGTTTATCATGTTTCTAAGGTAAAGAAGTGGGTCTTCCCAGGAGGGCACCTGCCTTTGAGCATTGCAAGTAGCTGCCTTTCCAATTACCCCTCATAAATTTATTCACACTTAAGGATTTATTCTGTCTTTCCTTTTCGCTGACCAAGTTCTCAGAGTTCCCAAGGGAACACTGAAAACCATAATTCAACACTTGGGAAACTGCAGTTAGTCCATCCAGCTGTGCTGCATGAATAAAAGGTATTCGCCAAGGAAAAGATGGTTGTCAAAGACAGTAGCCTTCAAAGACAGGCTTGGGGTTTGATTTCCTCCAAAGCCATTTCTCATGCCAACGTAGCTCCTATTATGTTAATCTCAGCTGTGTAGTTTAGTAAAGTATGATTTGCAAGTTGTACATTTCTGTGAAATATGAGCACAACACGTGTAGCATTTGACAGTTTGCTCCATGGAAGAGAACAATCGGTTGCCACATGATGAGTTAGCAATTCATGTCAGGTTTCATCTGTAGTTTAAAGGTTCAACCTGTTCATTTCAGTGTATGTTTAAGTAGTTACTTTCCTTTCTCCCATTTTCATCTATCAGTGGCCTCTCACTCATATTCTGGCTCCGTTCTCATAGCTGTACCAACAAAGCACCATGAACCAGATCAGAAAACTCATCCAGGTTTTAAATAAGACAGTCAAAAAATACTATTTTTCAAGAGATTCCCAGTCCAGACCTAAAACTGGTTGTGTGAGCTTAAGTAAGGGTGTTAGAGTAGAACAGCTGAATGAATTCATTAAACCAGGGCAACCTCTGAGCACTTTGTCTCTGGGACACATGTCTGTAGCCCTGCTGAGCAGTAGCTAGCAAATTCTGTTTATCTTCTAGGCATGTGATAATCAGGTGCAGTCAGGTCCAAGGGATGCTACCTGCCAAAAGCTGGAGAGCAGAGCGCGAGAACATATAGGTTCATCTGGAGTATGGACTGATTTGAGTATAAAAGCAAGTGGCATCCCTAAACCCAGATCCTTTCTGGTGAATGCATCCTGGAAATGTGTGACAAACAGAACCTTAGCCAAGGACCTGGAAAGTCATTGCATATGTATTACCTGGACACATAAAATAAGTAGAGATGGTATTCATATAGTGAATAACTCATTTCTTTATTTGGTTCTGCAAACTTGGAAGGTACTTACTCTGTATTTAGATTTTGCCAATTTATTAATTTACTTTTACCTTAACTGGACTAAAGGAGAAGAAAGTTTGCCCTAACTGGTTATCAGGTGATTGGAAAACATGAAGATACACTTCTCAGGTTGCTAAGCTTAAAAAATGGGCTTCATGGAACAGACATGAAATGCTCATCACTCTGTTACGCCTGCCCCACTGGGAGTCCCGGGTACAGTCTTACTGCCAAGGCAGAAAATTTGTTTAACATAACAAACACAATATCTGTGCAACTAAATCAAAGTCTCCCTAATGATCCCTCTTAGATATCAGCTTTGCCCTTTTTTAGATGGTGTTTCCATTCTTGAGCTGGGGGATCTCTCCCTTGCAGTTCCTTTCCTGTAGCAATTCATGTTAAGCTGAGTCCTGCCGTTAGTTCAAACTTTTCTTACAAACCTTCCCATTGCCTAATGGGAAGCATGCATATTAGCCATTAGATGTTCCTCTTAACTTTCTTTCCAGTAATTTCTCACTGACTTGTGACATTTTACTTACTTTTTTCTAAAGCTGCCAAATATGTGGCTAGTCATAAGCTGCAGCAGTCAACCACAAAATCCAAATAACAGAAACAATTCTTTATTCATTTCCTTATTTTACACTCTACCAGATTCAATCAGCATCTACATTATTTGCCAGATTTACATACATGTAATTTGTCTGCAAGCCCTTTTTGACAAAGAGAACCTCCTTGGCTAAGACAGCTGCTTAAGGTTTAAGCAGCTAAGGTTTAGGTCTGCACTCCAGTAAATTACTCCAAGGTATTGAAAGGATAATGGGGAGGCGGCTCCTTAACTGCATAGGCTGTGTTAGAAACTGGTAGCACAGGTATCTCTCTAGAAAACGTATTTTCCAGTACTTCGTGACAGCAGCAGCTGAAAAGCCTTGTAATTCAAAAGCATGTAAATAGGCAAATAGTCCTACCTGGCCCAGTGCAAATTCACACTGTGCTGTTCCTGACTACGAGTTTTCCCAGAAGCATCTCCAATCAGCATGGATAAAATGCCTAAAATTGTTTTAAGAAGAGAAATTAGTCGTTTAAATGGTCTTTACATTCTGTTGAAACCAGATACGTGAAAACTTCAGCACACCTGCCATTTCTGAAGACCTCACGTGGTGTGAGCCGTCTGCCTCCATGCTTCCCAATAATGTTACTCTTTGGCAGCCTGAGATGCTCAAACTGTATTACTGACATTTTATTCCATATAGCCAAGAATGAGGATCTTGATATAGAAACAGGCACACGCTTGCAGGAGAGAGATGAGGTAATTGAATACAGGTCTTTTCTAATGCTCTCTTTGCTCAGGCGTGCTAAAGGCAGCTCTGCCCAGTCATAATTTTACTGTATTCTGTGTATGACACTTTAGGGACATCTATTTGAACTCAGTTATTAATTATTTTCAGCTTTGCTTTTCCAGCAAAAATAATGCCATACTCTCTCTACCTTTCTGCTTGTAAGCTTTGGAGTGATATATTCTAGCCAAAGGAAAAATATATGAATCCTACCATACTGTACGTGCACTTCTTGAGATTGATCCTGAAGTTATCTGGCAAAAAATTCCCTGGACTTAGGCATCAACATGCACTTCTAATAACATAATTATCTTCCATTTTCTAAGTTAGATGCATTTTACACAGTCTTGGAGATAGGTGGCTCCTGTTTCGTCCAACCTCAGCATGGTAGACAGCCTGCAAAAGTACATTCTTCAAAATAATACCAAGCTTGGCAAGCTCAGGCTGGGCAGTGTCATCACTGCAGACTTTTAGGTAGATTTTTTTCTAAAT